AAAAAAGACTCTGGGAATAATATTTCCTCTCTGATCACATTACTCAAAAACTTTAAGAGTTTGTGGACTTCGCGAGACTTTCTTTACAACAGTCAAAATCTAGTGTTAAGCTTTCTCTTCCTTAAATATAGCAAATGGAAGAACCTACTATACCCCTGCGGCAGCGAAAACAAAGAAGCCATCACTTGTACAGTACACTCTTTATCACTCTGTTATTGGGTCTGATCTAGAGATAAGACGAAGACGCATCTAACTATCAAAGGATAAACTCGATAAACACGAGGAGCTAATCTGCCACAGAGAACTAAGAAATCTAACACTGAAAGGAGATACTTAAGGTGGATCTAACTTGGAGAGAAAGTGACTAAATAAATGTATGGATTCTTAAGCTCTCGTTATAAGTAGACAAAAGGCACAAATTACTAAAAAAAAAGATGAGGTTTGGAAGACTATATAGAAAGTATGAAGAAGAAAAGAAAGAATATTACAGACCCAGTAGAGACGATTATTTTGTACTATGCATATATACCATCTGTTTATCTAAGACACACTACCTATCCACCTACTTTCATGTATCAAAGTCATAAGAACAACAGTAGATAGGTACCTAAACCAAAGTGTTTTCTTATAATAACACAAGAGGAAATACATTCATCTTAATCCTCCAGTTTGTGTAATTAGTAAGCTTATCCTCCACTAGCCTAGTTACAGTTATTTCAGTAGTATTACGGCAAGATAATATATACAGTAGATCTAGAGCCTAAGGTCACCCAACCTCTCTCTCAAACACATTTGCAACCCTTTCGTACACCCCCCCCCTCCCTTCCTCCCTTTGACTGCAACTTCCCCCTTTACCCAAACCTATAGACATATCCTAAAAACACATAGTTATGTAAATAGACATTAGGTAGGTAGGCAGGTTGGAAAAGACAGAGTGAGAGAGAGAGAGTAAGAGAGAGAGCGGGAGAGGGTGAGGGTGAGGGTGAGGGTGAGGGTGAGGGTGTTGGTGAGGGAGAGGGAGGGAGGGAGGGAGGGAGAAGGAGGGAAGAAGGGAGAGAGAGAGAAAGAGAGAAAAGAGAGAGAGGGGGGGGGTGAGGAGGGAGTGAGTATAAGAGAGGGAGGGAGGGAAAAGAGGCAGAGGAAAAGAAGTGACAGAGATAGAGAAAAGAAAAGGAAAGAGACAGACAGACAGACAGATAAACAGTGATCAGACACACAGAAACCAACAAAACAAATCTAATAAACAAGTCCACTACTATCCACTAATACCCCCAAACAAAACTAGAAATAAAACAAAAATGAAAATAATAGGCAAATAAATATATAAATAAAGATATCATAAACGACCACCTCCTCTCAACCCCCCCCCCATCCCCAACCTACCCCCCCCCAAAAAAAAAAAAAAAAAATGTATATATATATGTATAAATATATATATATATATATATATATATATATATATATATATATATATATATATATATATACATATATATATATATATATATATATATATATATATATATTTATATATATATATATATATATATATATATATATATATATATATATATATATATATATATATATATATATATATATGCATTATATAAATAAAATAATCTTTGAACATCACCTCCGTTGCGTTGTCAGCCCGCGACGTCCTATAAGTGACGTTTCCCTTGAGTTCGGCGATGTTCCTCTGCGCTCCGTCCAGCATCTCCTTGTAAGTGTCTCTCTCCCTCCTGTACTTGGTCATGTGCTGCGTCAGGGTGGACACTTCCTCGGTCATGGCCTTGAGTTTCGAGTCGTACTTCATCTTGATCTTCGTTAGTTCGGTCTTGTGGTTCTTCTCCGAGGCCGAGAGTCTGAGGAGATGGGTGAGGGTTGGGGGAAAAAAGTTTATTATTTGGTTAGTGTGTTTATAGATTTAATTAATGAATTGTTTATTTGTTATTCCTTTACTTAGTCCTTTTGCTCTCTATTTATTCATTTACTTATCAATTTATCGATTTATCTATTGATTAATTTATTCATTTATTATCTTTTTATCTATTTTTCAATATATCTTTTTATCTATTGATTAATTTATTCATTTATTATCTTTTTATCTATTTTTCAATATATCTTTTTATCTATTTTTCAATATATCTTTTTATCTATTTATTTATGTGTATATTTATTCAATTATTTACTTATTCATTTATTTATTCACTAAATTATTTATTTATTTACTTATTTAAGTAGTTTTCCCTATTCATTAATTATTTGTTCTTCTGTCAAGTTTTCGTAGATATTTTGTGGGAATGTGAGTTATTTCAGAATAGGATACTTTCCCTCTGTTATTTTAGCTACGATTGTCAAGGAAATATTTTATACATCAGGTGACTCTAATTAATCATCAAACTTTCAAATCATACTGCTTAGTTAATTAGCAGACTGCCAGTGAATGAATGAATGACTGAATCAATTAATCAGTCAGTTAAGGAGTGAAGTATTT